GCTTTAAAGGTTTCGAGATAAATATTTAGCTGTAAAAAATTCGCGATATTTGTTTTGCAATTGTCTTCGTGGAATAATATTGGCTAATTTGGATTTGCAATAAAAGTTCGATATAAAATTTGCGAGACATTCTCGATAAGTTTCGCCAAAATGTGTTTCGCGTTATAAGTTTCGCTGAATTGACATGGAACCACAAATATCGTGTAGTATTGAATGGTTTTATATAGGGATCCAAACCGAAACGAATATAGGCTCGGTTCAGGTTCGGTTAAAAATAACGGTTCAAGGTTCAGGTTCGGTTCATAAAAAAGAAAAATATCGTTTCGGTTCGAACCTCTAAAAACCGGTTTGAACACTTTTGTTTTCTTACCTACATTCGAATTATGAATAGGGAAGAATATAATTTTTTTATTTCATAATTAAAATAAAAAACACATATATAAAACCTTCATTTTATTAATTGCACATTATTTTATTTATAAATATGACAAATAAATAAATATCAATGATTAATTTTAATATGAACAATATTTAACCTTATTTACTTTAAATTTTTATTAAGCCGTACAATTAATATATTTACAAAATTCGTCTCACTCAAATTACATCTATAAGGAGTTAATATAAATTTATTTGTTGAAAACATCTTTCCACACTAACTTGGGTAGCCGGCACTGTCAATATGATATCAGATTTGATGTGTTATTTATAATACTATATGTAAATAATTTATATATTCAATTTAATTTTTCTCTAGGCATTATAATTTATAAGCTTAAAATATTTAAAAAATGTTGTAAAATGCAATATACTAAAGTTTATAAAAATTATGACTGACACTTATCAATGTGATTGATAATAATCTTTTAAAAAATTGAATATAATTAAAATTTTTGCAATATACTAATAATAACTTACACATTATTTTATAAGCATAAACATGCGGCTAGAACCGGTTCAGAGGCATATTAGTGGTTCGGTTCAGGTTCGGCTATTTTTTAGCTGTTTAGGTTCGATAGAAAATACCAGTTTTTAGCGGTTTAATGGTTCCGTTTAGGTTTGGTTTGGATCCTTGGTTCTGTGCTCTAAGCTAGTTAGAAATAAGGATATCTCATCTTTAATTTATACTGCTATACAGAAATTTTTAAGAGATAAATATGTCTCTATTTCATCTCATTCTTGTAATTATTTGTTTATTCGTGTCTACCATGATTTATTCGCACTGCCAATTTGTATGTTTTATAGGTGAGGGCCAGAGTTATTAAGCCCTATCATTAAAAGTAGCGCGCTACCGTTATCGCTATTTGTTAAAAAAAAGTAGCGCGCTATTACTATCGCTACCCATCAATAGTAGCGCGCTATTAGTTACTATTTTTTAAAGTTGGCTACTATTTAGACTTTTTATAAAAGAAATTTAAAATAAATTTGTTTTATTTTTTGCTTATTAGACCTGTGCGCCGCCGGTCAAATACGCAGCCGCCAGTAATTTTTGACCACGCTGACACCGCTGCCATTAAAGTGACGGCGCTCAACTGGTCGCCAACTATATAAAAATTTTGCAGCGTGGCGACGTGATACATATTTTTTATTATTAAAAATAATATTTATTTAATATATTATTGAATTGTAATTAGAAGAAAAATAATATTAAATATTTTTTAAATTATTAAAAAATGAGATTTTATTTTTTTAAATTTATTATTTGTTATAAAAATATTTGATTTGTAACAAGATGATATGTTATTATTAGGCTAGTAATTTACAGAAAAGTAATCCTTTTTATGAAGATCGTTTTGGGTTTGATGATGATAGTGCAAATCAAAAATCATATGTGAAAATACATAAAACCTTAAAATTAAATGTGCCTACACGTTGGCATAGTATTTTAATAATGCTGGAAAGTGTGAGTGGCATTAACAAAAATCCTATAAATATTCAATTAAATAATGGAGAAACCGGATCTCATATTATTTAACTCCGATTGGGAGTTGGTGCATGAACTTTTAAATTTTCTTAAAACCTTTAAATAACTTAAATTTTTATCGCCCAAAAGGATTTACTAAAATTTATCCTTATTAATTCGTAGTGAAATTAAAAATCATTAAAGCGTAAAGAATATGGTAGTCCTCCCATAGCTTCCATTAAACAATATGCTTACTAAATTTGATCATAGATTTCCAATAACCGATCTCCCGATAGTATTTTAAAATACATAAATGAGTTTTTTAATATTATTTCTCTTTGTTTTATTTCATTACTTAGGTGTTAGGAACACTTTTGTGTCCTAAACATGGTAAATGAATATTTAAAGGAAAAAATATTACTCCAGTGCAATACCTCTCTGTTGCCTTCACGGGCGAATTAACCGAATGTGAAACCTACAGTTGCATCAGAATTTGATTATCAAGTCATTGTCTACTTTTTTTTTCACACAATTCGAAACAATTTAGTCCTTTTTTTTTAATCATCACAAATATTTAACTTTTCTTAAGTTACATTTTATTACCAAACATTCATCTATTTATAACAATAATCTGAAACAGCAAGACTATTTAACTAGTCTAGAAAAAAAGTGCCATTCATTATTTTAACCTTATAATTTAAAGATAAAAGATGTCTTAGATTTTTGGAAGATAAGAGCATTAGATCTTCCTAAATTTTCAATATTAGCTAGATCCTGTTCGTTCCATCTACAAGCACACCCAGCGAGCGTTTATTTTTTATAGGCTGGGCTCACTCTGAACTCTAAAAGATTATCATTATGTCCTATAAATCTAAATAAAATAATATTTATACATGATTATTATAACTTAATAAAATGGAAATTATAGTTATATAAAGCATAAATTTATTTTAAAAGTTTTTCCAATAAATTTATAATTTAAAAAAAAGAAACGTCGCCGCATGCTGTCGGCGTACAGGTCTATATATAATACATAAAAATCAACATTTATAAATATTTAAATATAGTTAATTTTAATTATAAAAAAATTTATGTAAAAAGACCATAATTTATGTAATAAAAATATCATTTTTTATTTCATTTTAATAAAAAATCATTTCTATACTATCGCTTCCAAGTCTAGAGCGACGATCATAAAGTGTAAGTTTCGCCTAACTAAATGATCTCTCAACACTAGCACTTGAGGGCAGTCTTTAATTTTATACACATCAAAAATACTCATTTGAGTATTTTTAGATTTAAAAAAAAATTCTATTATATTAGTATCATTTATTTCAAAAAAATTATCAATAAAAGTCGTTTTTGTGATTGTAACTAGAGCATCTTGTTTGATATGAGACTATTCAGCTTTACAATGAGCCACATTGATCTTTAACATCATCGGAATTGATATATGGCCAGTTTAATTTAAAATTGTGATGAATTATAAATTTTATTTGAAAGTGCATCATATGTAAGAAATCCTATTATCCTTTTGAGGGCTAATGCTACAGATCTTCTTTTAAAGTCTTAGGGTCTAGCCAATGGCCTGTGATTCCCAAATAAGCTCTAAAAACATTGATATCAGATTAATTTATAAATATAAATAAGTTGTTACCTTCTGTTATGTGTCCAAATATCTGCCGTGGTATATAACTCTGCTATTAGAGCATCTTTCATGTCTGGTGAAATAAAATTTTTGCATCAGGGGTAAAGTTTTAATCATCAATGTAAATGATGGATTATCAACTAAGGACATTGGCCAAGCTGTATTAATTATAAAATCGACAATGACTCAGCCAGTATCTGAGAAATATTGGCACGCGCAATATTATTAATCACTTTCGCTTGAATTGATTTGATCTTTTTGGATGTAGTCTCTCCCCTATTATTACGATGTTTTTCTATCTCTTTAAAACTGTTGGCATGAACATTCTTGTAAAATAAATACTATTAGAATTTAAAAATGACATCACCTTTTTGTGTTTTTTGAAGTTATAGCTACTGTATTTATTTGAGGATATATTTTTTTTATATTATAAATAAATAAATTTGTAGCCACCTTTTGTTTTTACATATTTTTAAGTTTTAACCAAGGATGGTTTATTTATTTAAATTAAATTTTTATTTCCACAAAATTAGTAATTATATATACATTTAATTGTTAAATTTAAATCAAATATTGTTTTTTTACCTTTTTGATGGGTTTAAAAAAAATAATTCTTTTTCAACAGCCCAAAAATCTTGTCAAGAAAAATAATCAAAATGATAAAGAAAATCTGGGAAAACTACTGTCTATTTTATTTCGTTTTTTTAATCTATATATATATCTACTATAAAATAAATATAAAATGATTAATAATATAATTGATCTAAAAATAGCAATTTTTAATATCAAAAAATAATATTCATCACAAAAAAAATGACTTTGCAATTTAACATAAAAAGAAGGACTCCACAATTTAACATAAAAAGAATGATTCCACATAACACGCTCCCGCTAATTGAAAACCAAACTTCGCACTTGATCTTGCACCCGGCATAATTATCGTCCCTTTATGGTGTCTTCAAGAAATTTATACGGTGGTTAGTTTCTTGAGTCTCCTCCCTTTGAGTGTCGCTATTGTCGATTTCCTGCAGAAATCATCTTAGTTCGACCTGGCTTCATTTATAATTTGCACATTCTATTAGCCATTTTATCCCATTAACCCTTATATGGTTGATTCCTTTTTTATTATTATTATCAATCACCCCGGTATTGAGTTAGCATATCTCTGTTTAACTGTACCCTTCAATTTTCTTCGGATACATTGAGCACCATACTAAGATGAATATTTTTCCACCCTTTTTCGATCAATTATATCCTCCTATTTATAATCCCGGTCGTAACCTCCCAGGTTCCACTCCCCTTTCAATTGATCTCGATGCCGTACTCCCTCTCTTCCGTCGATGAATTTTACTCAATTTAATTTGTGTCCCATGTTTTCCATGATCACCCTAGATTCCCACCTTTTTGTAGCCCATATATTCTTGCCCACACGGTTTGCCCCACTACAAACTAAGGTCTCTCCATTATCTCCCTTTCCACCTCTTGATGTAGTTTCGGCTTTAATAAATCCAATAATATCCTGGTTCGTCGTCCTAAAAACTTCTCTGCCGGAGACTGTTCTTCTTCCTTTCGACTATTGTTGTAATATGATACAGTTATCCAAATTTCCCACCTCCATACTTTGATTTTCTTAACCAGTTTTTGACAATTGACACCATCCTCTCCGTCTGTCCATTTGAACTGGGATGATATGGCGGCGCTAATATGCTTTACCCCGGTTTCTACGCAAAACATCTTAAACTGTTCACTGATAAAAGCTGGACCTCCGTCATATACTATCGTTCGAGCTACTCCAAACCTGGCCCATAGATTTTTTAACGTTTTCACTACCACTTGCGTCGTTAGTCCCATTACTTCTTCGTACTCCACCCACTTTAAGTAAGCATCTACCATGAGTATATAAATCTTATTTTCAAAGTCAAAGAAGTCAACGTGTATCCGCTCCCACGACTGGGTAGCCCTTGGCCAAACATTTTTCTTGTCTTTATGGGGCATCTTGGCTCACGTATTGCACATCAAACTCTTACTGATATTTTCGATATCTCTATTCATCCCTGGCCACCACAAATATTCTCGGCCCCATTGCTTCATCCTCTCCACACCTTGATGCCCCGCATGAATCATTGTCAACACAGCATCCCTTAATTTGAGCAGCAATTCACCTCTATTCACTCGTACCACACATTCATCTACAATGGCCAAATCTTTTTCTATATATTTGTAAGTTACTCCATCTCGCCATGTCTTCCGCCCCTTTATGCATGCCTTGATACGCCTTTTTGAGTTGTTCCCACGTTACCGGTCCTCCTTTAGATATTCCTGCCATACCCCTAATCAATCCGTGCTCATCCTCCTCCTCCATAATTTTTTCGATATTCTCTCCCGCTCCACATCTAGAAAAAAATATCCAGTGAATAAATCTCTCTTCCCCGCCGATATTTAAATTGTAAGTCTAAACTGTCCACCAGTAATAGCCATCTCTGTAGTCTAGGCGACAACATTAGCTCTTTATTATCCTTCTTAAAAGATGCACCAGTGGTTTGTGGTCCGTATATACCATGAATCTACGCCCTATTAAGTATTCTCCACATTTTGTCAATCCAAAAATAACGGCCAAAGCTTCTTGCTCGATAACCGAGTATCTAGTCCGCCGCCCTAGAAATTCTTGAGAAAAATAAAAACAGGTTTCTCCAGACCGTCTAAACAATGTAATAACGCTCCTCCTACACCTTTATTAGAAGCATCTACGGCCAAAATCACCTCCAAATCATTATTAAAGCATGCTAGAATAGGTCCTCTCTTAATTCGACATTTTAATTCTTCAAACGCTACTTCCTGTTCCTTTTGTCATACAAATCGTTCTCCCTTTTTCAGTAATTTATACAATGGCGCCGCTATCTGCGCAAAACCTTCCACAAACGGGTGATATTAATTCACCATCCCTAGAAAGGCCTGCATTTCCACTTTATTATTCGGTCTCAACATACTGGTTATTCCGGCCATATTTTTATCCAGCTTGGGCAGCACTTCCGTGTAACACGTTAATATGACAAAAATTTGGATAAATTCAATATAATAGATTTATATCTGGTAAAATTTAGGCAGCACTTTTTTTTTAAAAAAAAAATTTTCGGCAAAAACGGGCAGCACTTTCTTGTGTACCTTTGTAAAAAAAAAAGAGACGCGTTCCACAATCCTTCAACTTCCCTACCAATTAGTTTTCAACGTTATTCCGTATATACAACACTTTTCCTACCAATTGGTTTTCAACGTTATTCCGTATCTTTTTTCTACTAATTAGTTCTCAACGTTACGTATATAAAACGCTTTCCCTACTAATTAGTTTTCAACGTGATTCCGTATTTACAACACTTTCCCTACTAATTAGTTTTCAACGTTATTCCGTATATACAACGATTTTTCTACCAATTGGTTTTCAACGTTATTCCGTATATACAACGCTTTCCCTACTAATTGGTTTTTAACGTTATTTAACAAAAATTATTATCCCGTAAACTACGTCTTGTCCACCACTTTTAAGTTTTAACCAAGGCAGTTTATTTTATTAAATTAAATTTTTATTTCCACAAAATTAGTAATTATATATATATTTAATTGTTAAATTTAAATCAAATATTGTTTTTTTTTTACCTTTTTGATGGGTTTTAAAAAAAATATTAATTTTTTTTCAACAGTCCAAAAATCTTGTCAAGAAAAATAATCAAAATGATAAAGAAAATTTGGAAAAACGGCTTTTTCGTTTTTATCTATACTATAAAATAAATATAAATTGATTAATAATATAATTGATCTAAAATTAGCAATTTTTAATATCAAAAAATAATATTCATCACAAAAAGAATGACTTCGCAATTTAACATAAAAAGAATGACTCCACAATTTTACATAAAAAGAATAACTCCACAATTTAATATAAAAAGAATGATTCCACATAACGCATATATTTGAAAATATTTTTCAAATTTGGGATGAAAAAAAGTGTATTATTGTTATCAAGAACATTTTCTTCCAGGGTATCTTCCATTTCATTAATATCATCATTGTCTGACTAACTTACATCGATTTGGATATCCTTTTACGATCACATTTTAAATATTACACCAGATGATTTAGGTTTATAATACAAATTGAAAATATAAATTTCTATTTCTATTTCAAAATTAAATAATAAATCATAAAAAATAGTGCTGTAAAGTAACTTCAAAAATTAACGTCATTACTAACTTGGTTACCTTTTTTAAAGAAAAGGAACTCTATTCGCCTTCTTCTAGAGATAACGAGTAACGGTAATGGGTTTCTTGGTAACGCAAAACGTTACTCGTTACTTTAAATTTTTTCTTAAAAAATATTTTAATAAAAAACATATTTTATTGTACTACAAATTTTCTTTTATTTATTTTATAATATAAATAATTTAAGCCGAGTTTTTAATTCATATCAATCACCATTCCTTCACTATTATTTTAAATTCTCGTTGTTAAATTTTCAGTCGAATGTTAATCTAATTAATATTCATTCAAAATTCAAAGTATGTTAATAATATTAATATTCTATTTTATAATTTATTTTAAGAATATTATGTACATAGTATACTTATAATTACTTCTTTAGATGAAGATGATTTAACATTTCCCTGGCCCAAATTTGAAATATATTTTACACCAATAAAAAAAATGGGTACAAAGTCTATACTTTGTAAGGGTAAATTATGTCCCAAGGCAAATATTTCAACCTCAATATCCAGCAGTTTAAACTTTAAAAAGCAAATGAAGGTAAAAGTTGAATTAATATATTATTATTTTAAACATTATTTTAAATAGAATATTAAATCTTGGGTATTATAAAATAACATTAAAAGACGTACTCTTTCATAATATATTGAAAAGCTTAATCATGAAATTAAAATATAAGCAATAAATTATACTATAATATAGGGCTGGGAACCAACATTAAAAACCCAAGATTAAGAAAATATTGATATTGGTTAAAATTGGATTTAAACAATATCTTCTAATTCTTGTTTTAGTATTGCTATTGGTTTACTTCAAGTTGTTTAATAAATTAAAGAATAAAATAGTGATTTTATAAACTTTGTTTAAATAAATTTGTATTTTAAATAAATATATATAAAATAAAACTATGAAGCAATATTGTAGTTAGAGAACTGAACCTATATTCATTTCTTGATTCCTTTTTAAATAATAATTCTGAATTCTAAAAAGAATAAGAAATTGAAAAATTATCTTTGACAATCATAAATTCAATTTTTAATGTTTCCTAGATAATAAGCTTAGTGAGGGATTAAAAAAATGCACTTAAATTTTTAAAAGATTTATCTTCAATTATTAAAAATAAAGAAATTCAGGAATTAATAATATTTTAATTAAAAAATTATAGACGGTACAATCCTCAAAAATGAAAGAAATTAATGAACATTTGAATAGTAATAAAAAAAAATTAAAGCCAAAATCAAAGGAAAAATAGCACAATAATCTGTTGATGAATTAGTTTTTAATCTTGTAATTGAAGAATTACAATCATTTTCAATTGTAAGAAGCACTGCATTTATTAATTTTATCCAAAAGTTGCAGCCAACTAAAAATGTCATGTTAAAACCAACCCTCTATTATAAAATTAACAAAGCATCATGATACAATGGCAAAGAAATTAGTGGATTTATTGTGTATCTCATGTCTGTACAACTGTGGATTCTTCGTCAGCTTATCGGTATATAAAATATATATTTTATAGATTGATAATACTCTCTTTTAAAAGAGTTCTTTATTTAAGGATGACGGTACACTGGCTACATCCAGATACTCTTGAGAGAGTTTCAGCCTGCTTAGCTTGTAAAAGGCGAAACACACACATTTGATTATCTAGCAAAATTAATCTTTATAATTTTACACCACTTATAAGATGCAAAATAAAGTGACCAAATGCTTACCGACAATGCTAGAAATTATATAAAACTTTCAAGTAAAAAAATTATAATATATTTATTAAAAATTTATTAGAGTATGAACAAGAAGAGGAATCGGATGATGTAGCCTCTGCCATTAATTGATCTATTTGAAAATCAAAATACTAATGATAGTATTGTATACATACCAGCATCATTCCTGACACACTTTAAATCTAATTGCAAGTATTTACATTAAAAAGGCAGATAACAATGTTCATTTTAAAACCATTTCAAAAATTACACTTTTCTAAGTTTAATGTTTCCAAAAATAAAAATAACAAAAGTATTAAGCTATTGAGGAATAAACATGGGCAATCTTCAAACTATGCAGCCATTTTAAAGAAAACATGATACCTGATTAAACCGGTTATAACAAGATGGAACTTTTTTTATAACTCCGTTAAATTAATAGATAGTCTTATTAAGGAGAATTGCCAAAAATTTGACGAATCTTATGATAAATCTAAATTATAGAGATTTTCAGATAAAAACAAGTCGTTCATGGATGAATACTGTATGGTTAGTGTTAATTAAGAAATATCGCTATATAAATTAAATTGGCCCTGGATAAAATTAGAGATTAACAAAGAAAGAATGCTAGAACTTATTTTCAATTTGAGAAAAAATCTTGATAAAGAAAGAGCAGACTTAATTCCTTTATCCAACACACATACCAGAATATTTTCTGATAAAGACAAATTTTTAAATATTTTTAATAAATTCCCCGAATTAAAATTTTTATTTATTAAATATAATACAACTCTCCCATCCTCTGTGCCAATGTGTGTTGAGCACTAAGCGTTCTTGTTTGTCTGATCAAGATTTTGAAAATCAATTGTTGTTAAAAATAAATAAAAAATTGTTACAAAAAGATGTTATCTTTATAATATATCATTTTTGTATAATTATATATATGAAAATTTTTTTAAAAATATCTTATCTTATTATATATTCTTTTTGTATAGTTTTTTATTTATTGCAGAAAAAAAATATTTTTTTTATATTTAATATTTAATTTTTAAGTAACGAGTAACCCATTACTTTTTTGAATAGTCAATAACGCGCCTTCCTTTTTTAAAAAGGTAACCATTAACGGTAACGCGTTCCTTTTTTCAGACTTAACGAGTAACGGTAACGCTTTTCTTTTTTTTCACTAATAAAAATTATAATTAAATATGATATTAGATTCAAATTTTCATGTTTATAGTATTCATTATATTTTTAAAAAGTAGCTAAATCGTTTCAATTATATTATATTACAGTTAAAAATATGTAAATTATTAATTAAAATAAAACATATATATTATTCAATTAAAGAATATAATTAAAAATAGAAGGGGTAAATTATGTTAAAACAAAAATCAATTGTTTATTTATAAAAGATATTTTTAGTGCTGTAAACAACTCGTTTAAAATGAAGTGCGTGAAAAAAATGATAAAAAGCGTTCCTTTTATTTTTGACGACTTTGAACGTGAACGTGTTCCTTTTTTTTGACTAAAACGTTCGTTCAATTTTAAAAACACTTTTTATTAATTATTAGAAAAATTTGATATTAATCCAAATTTTTTAAGAAAAAAGTCTTTTATTTTTTAATTTTTCTTTTTCACGTTTCAATTTTTTAACAAGCCATTATTATCGTTTATTAATTTGAATATTATTGTTTATATTTTAATTTAATAGATTAGCATAAGCATGGATATTATTATTTCATCATCATCATCTGATTCTGAAAATTCAAAATCATCTGATTCTGAAAATTCAAAATCATCTGATTCTGAAAATTCAAAATCAGATGAATTAACATTACCATGGCCCAAATATAATAAATATTTTACAGTATATTGAAGAAACTAATTCAATACTTACTAAATGTAAAATGTGCCCAAAAAGTATTTACTAGTTCCAAAATCTTTAAGTTCAAATTAAAACGACATTTGATTTTAATATTAATTATTTTATCTTATATTATAAATAACTAGTGAGTTAATAAATTATTTTAGATTGTTCTAAGTAAAAATCATTAAATTTTATATATTATATGCATAGATAGAGAATTTGTTGATATCATAAAAATATTTAATATAGAGGAAGTAGAGGATGGTTTGGAGGAGGATAACTTATCTCAATTTTTTGAAGCAAAAGACAAAAAATAAATGTTTTTTATAAATTCCCCTCGTAAAAAAGTTGTTTATTAAGTCTAAAACCGCAATCCCCTCACCTGCCCCTGTAGAGCGAGTTTATAGTATGGCTTATGCCGTATTAACTGCCAAGCGTTCCTGTCTATCAGATAAAAATTTTGAAAATCAATTATTATTAAAAATTAATAAGAAAAATTTTATAAATAAAAATATATATCTTTTTATTCGCTATGCTATATTATATTGTATTTATAACTATATTATCAAAATAAAACTATATTTTTTAACATGGCTAATATATTGTGTTAAAAAATATTAGACATTTATATATATTAAATTAAATTTTAAAAAAATTTATTAAAAAATTATAAACGAACGTGAACGTGTTCCTTTTTTTTGAAAGTGAACGTGAACGCGTTCGATTTTTTTTTAGAAATGTTTACAGCACTAGATATTTTACGTAAAAAAATTAATTTTTAATAAATTTTTAAATTTATTAACTTTTTAGAACTCCAAATATTTTTTAATATATTTTAGGATTTCCTATCTCAAATTTAAATCAATTTATTTCTATAAAATTATATATTCCATTTTAAATAATTTCGATAAATTAATAGTTATATAAAAAAATTATGTATAAGATCAAAATATTATAAAATCATTCAATATGTTCTTCGACTTAGAAGATGATACCTTTTTAGAATAAAAACAGTAAAAATTAAATTTATTAATATAAATTAATTATTAGGGATTACCTAATTAATCGACTATCCGCGATAACTCACCTCTAGATATTGTTGCATTGATTGTAAAGGTTCGCAAAATCATATGGAATGAATCCACGAAAGAGCTCAATAATATTGGTAGTAGTTTTCTCAAAAATTAAATGGGATTAAGCGGTGAATATGGCGCGATTAAATGGATTTATGAATAGATGCATTTTCCATTACAATAATTACTCAAGTGGCAAAATATCAATAATCTCTCACATGGAATCTCAAAATAATACACCATTATAAGCTCTCCCTCTACCATTTAATAATGAATTACTCCTCCGATTCCACTAGCGAAAAGAATATATTTTTCGAGGATGGGATCTTTATAGTCGAATGAACATTATGTGGGGTCCAGGCATAAGCTGGTTACCAGATGCATGTTGATTCCCGTTTCATCTAGGAAAAATAATTTTTAGATATATTTAAAACTCTTAAACATTAAATTTGACGAATATTTATAAGGGGCTTCTTCTGTCAGGCTCTTTGTCAGTCTTTTTTTCGACCACTCAATATTTTTTAATATATTTTCTTATAGCTACCTTATTTTTGGGACCAGGTTGTAAACTTTTAATAATGACTTGTATCGTAAACGTATTATTTGTCATTAATAAGTCCATATTTCTTTCAATGATATTGATTTTTTTTCTTACTTCCTCTATTTTGAATAGTGTATTCATTTAGAGGATCTCCATTTATTTCTGGAAATGAATCTCGTCTAAATTTATAAACTGACTCTGTAGACATTTAAATGTATTTAGCGATGTCCTTTTCATTTAATATTTTGCTAACTATATCGATTTTTTACTCAAATATTTGCATATTTTTCTGAGTCTTTAAATAGTAGACGAGGTTTGGGATTAAGTTAAAATTGACAGAATTTGATAATATATTATTTATTGTAAACATTATATGTAAATTCAAATAAATTATTTTAAAAATTAATTTTTTTACGTAAAATATATTTTATTAATTTTTTTACGTAAAATATATTTTATTAATTTTTTTACGTAAAATATATTTTATAAATAAACAATTGGTTATAGGCCGCTATTACTACTATTAAAAAATGTTTAAAAAGCAAATAAGCTAAAATGGCTGTCAAAATGGCCCCTATAGGTTTGAAGCGAGAGATTTAAAAATATTAAAAATTTAACTTTTACAGATTAGACAGATTTTACTATTTAAAGTAATTTATGTAATTTATGTAATTAAAAATTTAATAATATAAATTTAAGAAAATATACAATTCTAATATTAATAATTTTAGTATATATATAATTCTAATATTTAATATAATTATAATATTTAATATAATTATAATATAAATATAATTCTAATATTTAATATAATTATAATATAAACATAATTCTAATATTTAATATAATTCTAATATTTAATATAATTCTAATATTTAATATAATTATAATATTTAATATAATTATAATATTTAATATAATTATAATATAATTTTTAAAGCAATTTTAATGTTATATAAAGAAATTTATATAATTAATATTAAATTAATGTGATATAAAGAAATTTAGATAATTAATATCAGGGTTGGGCAGTATCGCGGATATTTGTATCTTTTTTAAAATTTTGGAAAGTATCTTGTATCCAATATCTAAGATACATATTATTTAAAAGTATTTGTATCTTAACCAACTTTGTATTCAAAAAGATACAGATACTTTAAAAAAATTAATATTGGTTAATTTAAATAGTATTAAAATTTAAAATGATATTGTTTTAATATTTAAATGAAAAATTTAATCAAAATTTAGATATTTTAAGATAATTTTTGATATATAACGTTGGTCGTCATATAGCAATTTGCTAACAATTAGAACTACCATATTTGAATCGTTTTATATCTGTCTATTTTAAAATTATTGAAGAAGAAAATAGAAAAATATGTTTATCTTCGTCTTCAGATGATTCTTCAACCGAAAATTATAACAATAAATTTAAACTAAGCATACTTAATGGCAAATTTTTTGAAGTACTTCAAGATGATCATAATAAAGAAATTATTCATCGTGACTTTGGTATTAACGAAAAAGTTATAGCAACTGTTACAGATAACGGCTCTAACTTTAAGAAAGCTATCAAGGAGTTTGGATATTCTATGGAAGCTTTAGAGAATGACTTTGACATCAATGATGATGAATGTATGGAATTCGAAATCATTGAAAGTATTATTTAATACTTCTTTAAAATTTATTATGATATTGTAAATTTAGTAAAAAATTTTATTCAAATAAAATTATTTATTTGTTTATTTAAGGGTCTAAAGAAGCCTCAATAACATTGCCTCATACGATAAGTCTAATTGCCACAACAGATGTTGAGAGAGCTATTAAGGATTCTCCTAACATTTCTAAAATTCATCATCCTGCAATAGCTAAATGTACTAAGCTATGGAATGCAAATAATAGGTCTAAAACTGCAGAATTTATCAAAGCAGTTTTAGGAAAACAATTAGTTACACTTTGTTGCACTAGATGGAATAGTTTGTATGATAGTCTTCATAGTTTATTCAAATTTAAAGGCGAACTTCCTAAATTATGTCAAAAATTAGAATTTCCTAAATTAAGAGATATTGAAATTCAATATTTAGAAGAATATTGCAATATAATGGCCCCATTGGCTATAGCTATTGACAAAATACAGAGTGAAATCAACTGCTATTATGGAGAATCAGCTCCAATTTTAAATGTCGTTAAAAAAAATTACAAATTTAATTCAAACCATTCTACAATTTTGCAAACCATTAGCTATTGCCATAGAAAATTCTTTAAATAAAAGATTTAAAAATATATATGATTTTAATAACCATTTTAAAAGTGTTGGCAACTATTTCTCATCCCTAATTTAAAAATCGTTGGATTGATGGTGAAAAAGAGAAAAAATACCTTCAGGATTTGTTATTACATGAAGTTTTAATTGTTTTTAAAAATAATATTGAAATTAATACTTCAACAAAATCTTCAATTGATGAAGATGATGATTACTTTTGCCTTAAAAGTACCACATCCAATTCTAATAATTCAATAAATGATATTGAAATAGAGGTCCTAAATTATATGAAAGATGACAGGCGTAGTATAAATATGTTAAATAGTTATAAATATATAGAAGAAATATTTATTAAATATAACACAATATTACCCTCCTCAGCCCCCGTTGAAAAATTATTTAGCTTTGCTAATATGGTTAATAGACCAAATCATCAAAGATTGAACGATAAATCATTTGAAAAATTAATAATATAAAAAATAATGCTGATTTATTATTATTTACTAATTATATAAATATTAAATGGAATATCGCATTATCTTTTATAATAAATATGTTATTTTCTACAATTTATTTTATGATTTTGACTATTTAAAGTTTTTTTTTAAAAAGTATCTTGTATCTTAGATACCTTTTTTTAAAAAAATACAAGTATCTTGTATCTTATCTTATTGAAATTTTTCCAAAGTATCTTGTATCTTAAATACAAAATTGTATAAAGTATCTGTATCCGAATACAATTTTCTGAAAATTTGCCAACCCTGATTAATATAATTAATATATTTAATGAATCTATAGTAAAATAATATATATATATTTTTTAAATAACATGATATACCTTATCTATTTAATAAAAAAAATATAGATTTTTTTTTGTAATATTTATTCTAAAAAAATAACCAAGAGTTGTAGAACTAGGAGCCATTTACTTGCATCGTTTTCTGAATATAATTTCATGAGGCTTGTCGCTGGTTAGGAAATAAAAATAAATTTGAGGGTAAAGGGGTTTATCAAATTATTCGTTCCTCAGATTTATGCATATATTTTAATTTTTTTGAGATTTCTGATAATTAATGGGACTGTTAATCCTTTTTCATAGTAAGAACTCCTTATATAATTTTTTTACCATGTTTCTATGTATATTTTTTAATTTTTTTGAGATTTCTGATGATTAATGGGACTGTAAATCTTTTTTCTTACTAAGAACATCTTATATAAAATTTTTACAGTATGTTTCTATGTAAATATTTTAATTTTTTTGAGATTTTTGATGATTAATCTTTTTTCTTACTAAGAACTCCTTATATAAAATTTTTACCGTATGTTTCTATGTATATATTTTAATTTTTTTGAGATTTCTGATGATTAATGGGACTGTTAATCTTTTTTCTTACTAAGAACTTCTTATATAAAATTTTTACAGTATGTTATTATGTATATATTTTAATTTTTTTGAGATTTCTGATGATTAATCTTTTTTCTTACTAAGAACTCCTTAAATAAAATTTTTACCGTATGTTTCTATGTATATATTTTAATTTTTTGAGATTTCTGATGATTAATGGGACTGTTAATCTTTTTTCTTACTAAGAACTTCTTATATAAAATTTTTACAGTATGTTTCTATGTATATATTTTAATTTTTTTGAGAGTTCTGATGATTAATCTTTTTTCTTACTAAGAACTCCTTATATAAATATTTTACCGTATGTTTCTATGTATATATTTTAATTTTTTTGAGATTTCTGATGATTAATGGGACTGTTAATCTTTTTTCTCACTAAGAACTTCTTATATAAAATTTTTACAGTATGTTTCTATGTATATATTTTAATTTTTTTGAGATTTCTGATGATTAATCTTTTTTCTTACTAAGAACTCCTTATATAAAATTTTTACCGTAGGTATTTATACAATATAACTATGGATACATACAAAATTTATGTTTATTTCAAGTGCATAATTTGACAATGAACATTCAATTATTATTTATGAAATTTTCTAAAAATTCGCGTAGACAATATTATAAAGTATTCTATAAGGATTTAATTAATTATATTATATCAGGTTAAATAAAAAAATAATGTTTTAATGGTGCACGCAACAATAGTATAAACGATTATGATAGGTAGGGTATTACAATATGAAAAATGATTATTTTGAATTGAAATAATATATAAAAAAATATCGACAATAAATATAAGTTATATAAACTGATAAAAAAAATATATGGAGGAAGGGTTTAGTGTACTATTAGCATTCGAATGATAATTATGATTAGTAGTATTATGAACTTTTAGTTAAAAAGCTCTCCACAAATGATGATATAGCCCTAGTTGAGGAACATAACATAGATTTTGAAATTGGCATATACCACTTCAACCGAACCCAACTACAATAAAATAACTTGGATCAACAGTAATGATATTTTTTTACCGATATCATAAAAAATATAAAACAAATAGAGTTAGATGATGGGTAAAAAAGTCACCAGTATAGTAATATAAAAAAAATGGGCTAAATGCCAGTAAATTTTTTGGAATATAAATATCATGATATTTTTCCCAAATATTCAATAGGGCTATACAAATTTCCACATTATATGATTATTATCTCTCTTATCTTATCATCTAGTATGATATATTTTTTTTTTCTTTCGGAAACTTTTCGCCCATCACTGCATTAATACAAGATCCATATCCTGCTCTTTATTTTTTATGATATCAATAAATAAATAAATGTTGGGGTGAGGATAAGGAACGTATTCCTTTAAAGCTCGATGAAAGCCTTCCACGTGGTTATTCATCCTTACCCCTCTAACATCAAATGTGTTCCACATTTCATATTTGAACTTGGCATTACTGTTAACAAGTATTTTCAAAATAATTTAAAAAATCGTAAATAGAACTCAATTGAAATGATTGAGCTTGGCGAATTAACTCAATCATTATAGATGGCACATCCCTTTCTAATAAAAATGGGATGGCCATTATAATACGAAAAAATTTATAAATATTAGGATTTCGTCTGCGCAGTTGGGTCAGGCGATATTCCTGAATGCGTCTTGCGATGCATTGACAGAAATGGAAGTAGCAACTCTTTACAATAATTCTAGGAAAATTTTCCTTAAGGGCTAAAAATACGCCAATTTTAAAATCTATTGTTGCACTTGGTGGCGAAAAAATTAAGCCTAATGATAAACAATAATTTTTTAATAAATAAAACATTCGAATATTTGTATTTTTAAATTTATCTGGTAAAAGAATATACGCGCAAACAATTAAAGTATTGTTTATAATAATATTTATGGAATAAAATTGTTTAAATAATTTAGGGGAGGCATTAAACCTGCCATCTAGATATATTTTATCTGCCCAACAAAGGTGAGATAAAAGACTACGAGTAGAAAAAATAAATAATTTATTATTATCATTACAAACTAAAAAATTATTATTATTCAAGGTAACTTTATGTTCATCAAGCAACGCTATATCAGCATTTGTGCGAGGTAACGATGGCCGCGTTGATTGAGTAACGCGCGCCATAATTGTTTTTATTGACAAAAATGTCGGTAAGGTTTTAGGGTGTTGCATCGCAAAGGAATCTAATTTCCTTTTGCGCATAACCTTTTTATATACTTTATGTAAACTTAAATATTTATTTAATTTTATTTGATTTTTTAATTCATTTACTGTTAGTAAAAGTTCATAATACTCTTCATCATTATCATGACTATGTTGCTTAGTCATTGTAAAATGAGTACCTAATACACCCCTTCCTTTACAGTTATGTAAACGACATTTATAATAATGTTCTCGATTACGAAGATATAAATATTTATTAGAATATATTAAATTATTATTAAATTTAGAAGTAATAAATTTATATGGGCACTTTTTTTTACTGTTCTCTTGATAATTAGCTTTGTTTAAAAATAATGAATATAAATTATTAATAATATATTAAAGTACCTTAAATTGCTCTATCAGTAATAAATTCATTAGGTGCTGAAATTTTTATTATAATGATTAGTATGTAAAATAATATTTTACTTAAAAGAGATTCATTATCATGGAAAGCAAAGTTTTGATTATCATTCAAGGCAGAGTTTTCATTAATAGGTGCTGAAATTTTTATTATGATTAGTATGTAAAATTATATTTTACTTAAAAGAGATTCATTATCATGAAAAGCTAAGTTTTCATTATCATTCAAGGCAGAGTTTTCATTAATAGGTGCTGAAATTTTTATTATAATGATTAGTATGTAATATTATATTTTACTTAAAAGAGATTCATTATCATGAAAAGCAAAGTTTTCATTATCATTCAAGGCAGAGTTTTTATTAGCTTTGTTTTAGGATAATGAATATAAATGTAGATAAAAGTTTACTTTGACATTCATTTGAAATATAAATTACTCCTTCGGTCTGAGTAAATTTATCTATGGAATTTATATCTTCAGCTAAATAAATTAAAATTTTTTATATTTCTATTTATCATAAACTTTGTGTTGATGTTGATTTAAATTTTTGCAAGTAGCAATTAGGATCTTTAATACATTTAATTTATATTATTTAAAAATATTTTATCTACCAGTACACTCTTTGGATATACTAAATACATTATATTTGAGAATACCTTTCCCCTTACATGATTCTTTTGAGCATACACAGTAAGAGGTTGACTCATTATAATATTTATGTATTCTGAAATTTGATGATACTGGCATCTACAATTATAGTTAATTTATATACCCATTTTTTGAATAAAATATACCTTATATATTGAACTTCTTTTTACTGTGCCAATTGAAGATAAAGAGCTGCAAATAATATTTATGGATTATTGAATTATAAAGGCTAGTTTTACTGTAATTTGGCTTAATTAAATGTAGTAAAGCATCTTTTTTATACTGTGCCAATTGAGATAAATAAACTTTAAGCTTTGAGCATATAAACTTTAAGCTTAATATTTGAGCATACAAATTATAAGGTTAAGCGAAATTTAGCGAAAAGTTTGCCGACAAAATACCTAATTATAACTAAAAAATAGTAAAGGCGGTACGAAACCTAAACTGATTTAACATTATTTACCCCTTCTATTTTTCATTATATTTTTTAATCGAATATTAAATATAGTTTATAATTTTTTAGATTTTAATTAATATATTATTTTTCACTATATTTAATTTAATTTGATAATATTATAATTTTTAACTTTATTATCTATTTATTTTAAAGACTATTTTTTTTACACATTGATTTTAGATGAGTAATGAGGTGAGACTCAAAAAATGTAAATATCGGAGAGATTGCGTGAAATTTTTGAGACAAAGAGAGCTATTAGCTAAAGAAATTATTCAAGACCAATTACAAAAAATGGTTAAAGGTTTGTGCAATATATATATATTATGTTGAATTCCTTTTAAATCAAAGGAAAAAGTGGATTTTTAATCCGATCTATCCGGATTTCTTAAAAGGTAGAAAAGGCGAATAATTAAAACCTTAATTATTTTTTGATTAACCATTTTTTTCCATTTTATCAGATTAAATATAATATTTACTCTGTATAAATAATATAATATTAGTATCAAATATAAAATAGATCATTATTATATTTGATCAATTTAAAAAAAAATGGATCAGTAAAAAATTTATTTGTTCAGTAAATATAAAAGTTTTCCAGTAAATCTCGTTTCTTTATAAACTATATTTTTTAAAAATGGGGGGAGGGGGGTGCGATTCCTATTTTATTTTTAACGACCATATTTATAGAGAAACATCTTCTAATGTTATCCGTCGTTCATAACCACGCGAAAAAAAATGAATATAATTTATGAGATTTAATTTTTTATAATATAAAAAATTTAATAATGTGAAACAATATAGCAAATTTGAATATTGTATTTTTTTTTATTACATTACATAGATATAACAAAATTATAAAAATTTAATCCAAAATATAATTTCTGTTACATTTAGCGTAAAAATGCTTAATGATATTTCATTTTTAAGTAAATAGAAATGTTTATCAATTTATTTTAATATAAAATGTCAATTATTTTATTTAATTTTGATATATTTAATATTGAACAGATTAATATTGGCTAAAGTGATATTTTTTAAAAGTTTAAAATGTATAGGACAAAAATGGATAGGACAAATATTTGATATTTCTTGTACTTTTTTAAGGTTTTCAATGCTAGTCGGCGCACATCTTTAGATGCCACAAATAATTGATGATGACGATCTCTTGCAGAAGCTTTATGCAAAGTTGATGGGAATTTGTTATTAAACTAAAATTGTGAGGAGAATTTGAAAGCAATCAATGGCTAATCGATATGTGTTAAATTGAATTTATGGCCATTATAGCAGTTGAATATTCAGATATAGAGGGTGTGTTTGAATGATCTAAGATAAGCTTTATGTTTAAACTTAACAAAAAAGGGCTGTAAGCAGTGGTGAATTTCTTAAAAATTAGGCTGGGAGATTTTATATATCAAAAACTATGACATATATATAATTAATTTTTTTAAATACGAATATGAATAAATTCCCTATTTATATTATATTTTGAAATTTAATACCACCGACATCTGTATTAATTAAAAAATATATAAATATAAATCATAAAATATATAAATATAAATAAAAAAATATATAAATATAAATCAAAAAAATTTCTATAAATCCTTCAACTCTTTTATTTTTTGAGCTGTATTTTTCTTTGAAAGATATCATTCGTTCGCGATGAATCCATTTCCTTATTTTGATAGGTGGACTGGAATTCATTCCTATATCGTAACTCCATTACTATTTATGTATTATTTACTCTTAACTCGTTCCATATCTGACAACTACTTTGATCAAAATCATTTGATGAAAGTCCCTTTCACACAAGGAAATACTGCAGGATAAAGTATTCACATAGTTAAGAAATTTTTTAAATATTTTATTAGGAATATCTTCATCGATATAGGGTAAAATCATTTCATATTTATTTAATTTGAATCTTTGGCATATAGGCTTCTTGCCAATCTTAGGCTCATTTGCCAATCTTAGACTCATTTGCCAGTTTCTTTTTAAAGGAAGAATGTATCGGAAAATTTATAAAATGAATAGATATTTTTATTAAAATTTATTCAAGTCATTTTGCCCTAGTTTTTACTAGCCATTAGACGGGACTGCATGATGCTTTCTAGAGAAATTTTAAATTTAGTTATTTTAAATCTTACTACTTTTGGATTTTTTTTAATTAATGATAAATTTTATTATAAATTTACTAAAAGATATTTATCTCTTATTCATTCTCAGACAGCATTTAGGTAAAGGAAGTTTTACACGCTCATGGATAATATTTAAGATACGGTTAGTAATAAATGGTTGATAATCATCAACTAATGTTTATTTGTTATACCTGGTCTAAATAATCATGAGCCTTGCAAAATTTTAATTAGAATTGTCTGGAGGTTATAAATGATAGCTCATTATATCTTAATGAATGTCGTGGGGTTATAATATTAATGGGTGATTAATATCGCAGCCAACGGCAAATTTTTTTTAAGGGATAGGGGCAGATTTTATAGGAATTTGGCCCCAATAAAATTTCTGTCATGAAGCCACTTACATAATATTTTATTATTGTCAACATCAGTTATTAAATAAAAAAAATGATGTATTGGCAAAAGGACACTGATGAACCTAATAAAAAATATTAAATTGATAATCTAAACAACTAACAAACCACCTATGATTGGAATGTTCCATCAAATCGATCACGATTCGGCCGACCCCTTTTAAAATTGTTAAAAATTTCTGAAATTATTTAGATAAGAAAGCCGTTTATTTTAACTCGCTAGCACACCTGGTTCTCGAGATATAGGGGCTCTAGGTACAAAAAAGAGCCATTTTGGCATCTGTAAAATTTTTATATACTTATATCTTAAAAAATATTTATAGTAAAAAAAATATAATGTATCATAATGTAGGTAAAAAAAATTTCTAAAGGGCTATCAAAATATATAAAAATCAATTTGAGTCTTTAACTTTCGGTTTACCTATATTGCTTTATCTGTATTTTTAAGCAAAAAAGGGAGTTTGTTTTCGAAATTTTTTTTTTGCATTTTATTAAGAAACCTTTTATAAATATATATACGATGTCAAAACCTTAGCGACGCTATCGACTCTTCCGAAATATACATTTTTACCAACATTTGGAAAACAGATGGCGCTATATGAAATTACGAATTATGGTTAAATTTTGTTGCTAACTTACCAATAATAGGATATTTTCACTTTTCATGCTAAAAAATTTCAAATTATACTAATTTAACTGAGGTGCAGTGTGGGCAAATACCCAATAGACACTTAATAATGTAACAAATTTCCAATAATAAATATGTTTCGTATAATTTTTTTATTATTCATTTTTAATAATAATATAGAAATATAGATAGATAATCATATTCATTCCATAAATTAAAAAATATTTGAAATAAAATTTACTTAGTCCAATTTTAATATTTGAATGAATATCTTTTAAGCTCTCGTAAATTGATTAAACTAAATCTTTTTTGGACTTGAATCTTTTTACCATTTTTTGTTATAGAAACAAAATTCCTATTCCCAGGCATCGAACTACTATATTCATCATTGCTATAAAAAGTTTTAACAATAGCAAAGGTGGCGGAATCTATTGTCTTACCGGGTTTGGGATTCGGTGTTGAAAAAACCCATTTTCTTTTATTAAACCTTTTGATTTTAACGCCATATGATAGAAATATTAAATTCTTTTACAATTTTTTTTACTGTCTAATTTGATGGAAATAATGTTAATAATCTATATTTATTTGTAATCCACAACTGTAGGAAATTGAATTTTAAGGTATCTAGAATTTCATCGAATTTTTTATCATTTGATGAAGATAATGGTATAATTTTTAGTCGTTAAAACTTTTTTTACTCTATATATTTTTTTCTTTGGATATTTTTTTTCACATTAGCGTTTTCTTTTAATGGGGGATTCCCCTATTGATTGTAGGGATATATTAATGTTATCAATAGCCTCTTGATTAATTATATAAGGAGGAGAATCAATATCTACATTGTCATTTGAAGTATAAGGAATGTTTGCTAATTTTTGTCGGCATGAAGAGCATATTAACATATCTAAATTGAATGGTAAATTTTTTTGGGTCATCCAGGGTGAGATAATACACATGTCTTTGTAGATTAAATGGGTTACAACATTTTAATATTTGGTACGTTTATCTGTGATATAGAATAAAATTTTAATTGATCTGCACCTAGAATATATATTTTTGCACTCTCCAAATCCTGAATGTTATTGGTAGACAGACGATAAAATAATAAGCTGCAGACGGGTTGATTTATTAATCTGAACGGACAAGTTAAAAATATTAGGCAGAAAGAGAGATCGTTTTAAACAGTTTATTTTTAAAATAATATGCTAGTAAAATATAATCGATAATATGCCTAATAAAATATTCGTTTTTACTGTAGCTGTTATACATTATCGAGCTAATAAGTCATTCATTTTAGAAGCAAAGTAGATCTAAAAAATATATAACTTTTTAAGGATGGTGGGGGGTGGGGGGCAGAACTGGGAAATGTAACACATTTCTTATAAACGTATCATTATTTTCATTTTCCTTAAGAATAATATTTTATAACCATTGGCGCCATCTATTTTTTGTCAATTTTTGGCAAAAATATGTAATTCGGAAGAGTCAATAGAGTCACCAAGGTTTTGACATCTATATATATTTATAAAAGGTGTCTAAATAAAAAGCAAAAGAAAATTTCGGAAACAAACTCCCATTTTTGCTTAAAAACACACCTAAACTAATATAGGTAAACCGGAAGTTGCTCAGATTGGAGCCAAATTTTATTGTTTATTGATAACCCTTAGGAGATTTTTTTTACCTACAATATGATATATTATATATATATACTATAAATAGTTTTTGAGATATAAGCATTTTAAAAATTTTACGGATTCCATGCACCTATGAGCCCCTATATCTCAGGAACCAGGTATGCTAGCGTAATACCTATCTAAATAATTCCAGAAATTTTTAACAATTTTAAAAGAGGCCGGCCATTTGCCTTTTTTGATCGATTTGACATGGTGGCCCATTACTTTATTTTTAAATATATATTGTATAGTAATATAATTCATATAATTTGTTTATATCATAATAAAATGAAACTAAACTTAATAGAGTATAAGTATAAAATTTTTACCTAAGCATTTGCACTTTACCTTGGCATTTATAGTTTACCTAGGAATCAGTTTAATCATATTGGGTTGACCCCTGCTAAAAAATTAATGGTGAAATAAAAAATTAAATAATAGAGGTATAATTACCTAATAACTACCTTATATAAAGGATTAAACTTTATTCTATTTAAAATTATTTGAACAAAAATTATGTCTAAACTAATGTCGTTAAAGTAGGGCGCTATTTTTTTCTGTATAGTGGTAGCTTTAGCGTGCTACGTATTTAAAAAAAATAGCCGTAGCTAGCTACTAATTTAAAAAGTATCATAATTGTTAAAATATATTTATAATTGATTCTAAAATCATAATCATTTAATTTATTTTGAAATATATTTAAAAATCTGCCTTATAATACTAGTTTTCAAAATAATTTTAAAATGTCGACAATAGAGGTTAATATTGAAGAAGTTTTGGTACAGATTATATTAACAAAATAATTTCCTTGGAAAATGATGATAATATGGAATTTTTTTTTCCTGAATTCGCAAATTATTTTAATCTCGATAAAAAAATTAACACAAGGTACAAATTTCATTGTAAGGTGTGCAGGAAGGTTTTATCATCAAACAAGACTAGTAGCTTCAACGAGAAAACATTTGAACTTAATATATTAAACAATCCTTAATCTTTAAAATAAAATTTGAATCAAAGGTGTATCTATTATAGTTTTTGAGCTAGATTAGTTTATGTGAATGTTGATTTTCCGGCCCAGTCATGGTATGTTTCAACTTGCAATAAGATATTAGTTAAGAACATATTATAAATTAAAAATTACAATAAATAATTAATATTCATTCATTTTATCATCAGACTCATCTATTTAATGTCAATATTTTGTAAATTATTATCTGGATGTTTGATTAAAATTAACCACTAAATTTTATCAAAACATGCTAAAAAATATTTAATTCAATCCTTTCACATTTTACCAATTTTGAAAGAAATTGGTTCAATAGATAAAAAGCTAAAGGGTGATGGCCTGGCCAGTTGGCAAACATGGCCACTCACTTATCCCTTGTATAATCTTTATTCCAACTATTACTATTATTATTTTAGACTTACCCTAGCAAGATCGAAAAGCAACCTACTATTGATAAATTTTTCGATTTTTGATGATTTTTCTTATATAAAAAATATGTATATTAAATTTAATACAATCTGATGGTTGCTCTAGACTTGGGGATTACAATATGGAAATGTTATTATTATTAAGATGCAGTAAAAAATAAATAAATATATATTTGAAATTAGAGTCATATTTTTTAATTGTGGAAATGGAGATACGTAAAAAAATATTTTAAAAAAACTAGCTATAAGTGCGCTACTTTTTTGAACTCTAGCGGTATCGATAGTGAGCTACTTTTTTGTAAAATAACGGTAGTGATAACGCACTACTTTCAAAGTAGCTTTTAACAACACTGGTTTAAACTACCATAAAATTATATTTTAGAGATAAAGAAAACCTGGAAGTTTTCAAGAGTTAGTACGAGTCGTTTACATCGCAATTTTAATATTTATAATATAACCAGAAATTATTATTTTAAAATTTTTTGGATAACATCTTTACATAAATAATTGTTTTATAAATAATGTATAATTTTTATATGCAAACATAAATATTTAAGGGGCTTTCCCAGGTTTGGCTTTCTAGAAATTAATTTTTTATATGATGTAAAATTATATAAGGGTACCAAAATGAAATATTATTTATTAAGAATTATCAGGAAGTTTTGATTTTATTGCAGATTGATTTCAGGACTTCCAATATATTTTTAAATATGAATGATAAATTTAAAGAATTTTAGCCCTAAAGCGAGTTTTTAAAGTGTTTATAATTTTTAAATCAATGCTCAGCTCCATCTAAAATTTTCAATATAAAACAGTACAGTCAGTACGTGCTTGTTCAGGTTTCAATTTATTTCCGGTTTTTAAATTCTACATGAAACAAAAAATATCGGAACCTATATTTCTGCAGAGATAAATAATAACAAGTCCCTAAATTATTATTTAATAAAATATCTCTTGTCTAAACTTTTGATGTAGATTTTTTATTAGAAATAAAATTATGTGAGCACTTAGCCTATACTATTTAAGGGTAAACTTGGGGCGGACTGGGAGACTAAAAACCCCGTGGAAGATTTCAAAAGAGATCCCATAGTTGGGGGGGGGGGCATCACCCCTACTATTCATTTGAGATCGACGCAGCTTGGCTCAAAAGCTGTACAAAAAGATTTTCTGACCAGGCCGGCTGTTAGAATTTTTTCAAAGCTTAAAATTAGGCAATATGAGCTAAGTAGGACAACGTGTACAAAAATATTATATGAATTCGGTTGAAAACTCCAAAACAAAAGTTCTAGGTCACCGACCTCTATCGACTTTGTATATGCTCAACTATGTTTCGATTTATATTTTAAACTTATAATTCTAATACTTGCAAAAAGTAATCTTAAAAATAATAGTAGATAAATATTTATTTACACATTCATATGTGCTGCATGGCGTCCACGTTATATCAACTATTTCTCGCCTTTAATATTTCATGAAAAATGCGCCTTACTAAAACAACCTTCTTTAATTTTAGTAATTGTTTTGGTCATTTAAAATAGATTTATTAAATTAGGGTTTGAGATTTTATAATCTTTAGTTATTTTTAAAAATAAGTAAATTATTGAAAAAGAAAATTTTATTTTGTTTCATAATCATATTTGTTGGAGCCATATTAAAACTCGTGTTAGAGTTTGATCTTCTATATATCATCTGCTCAAGGAGGAACACCTAGTTGACTTTAGAAAAAAACATGATCTTTACTGGATTTGAACCCAGAATTATCAGATTTGATACAAGTACTGAACCACGGCCACAGACACTACTCAATGTTAATTATTTTTGTATATAAGGATAAAATTACAACGCTATCTAATATTTTAATAAACCTAGTGTTGTTAATTTGCTTGGTTATAATATACCACCAAAGACAGATCCGGGGTTCAGACCAGGAGTTTAGATGCGGAGTTCAGACCCATAACTAATCTTCCTTTAAATTAGCAATTAGTATTTGTAATCCTAGGATCTAGTATTGATGCAGCAAAATTTAAAGATGTTATTATATGTTGGCTGTTGTTTTTTTTTCTCTTATTGAACCATCTGATTTCCCTATCTCCTGATTTTTCTAATTATCCTATTATCATCCCTATTACTGGAGATTATGTGCTTATTTCTGCAGCTATTTTATAAAATGGCGTTAGAAATTCGTTAGTCAAATCGATTTCAATTAAACCAAGCTAACTATGATGTAATATTATGTTGATATTCTATGTAAATAAATAATAAATAAAAATAATTCTATTTTTTAAAACAAAACCTACAAATCACTATTTTAAAATATAATTACTCATGTTTTCTGGGAACTTGTAGTCTCACCTCCGTTTTTATATAATATTGTTTTATTTTATTTTATATTTGATACGTTAATTTTAATATTAATTTTATTTCTATATATATTTACAATTCTATTATTGCACAAAAAAAATAATAAAATAAAATATTATTTGTAAATAAATATAAAAAATTAAAAACTGGAAATAATAAATATACAAAAATATTTTTTACCTTATTAATGGCTTTTATCATATGATATATGCTGTTCCATCTTGTTTTAACAGGAAGAAGTATTTTTATAGACCCATTAAAGATTGATATGACTGCAATAATTTGGTGAGATATGTAATTTTGAAGCTAAATTTTCTATATTTAATAATTTATTCTCCAAAAATATAAATCCCTCAATTAAGTTTAAGATATGGGCCATACAACGATGACCGTATAAAATAGTCTGATAATTCAAATCATAATATATTTTAATTAATGCTTCGACTACGTTAGGGCCATTATCGTGATTTATGATATTATCTTTTAATTTAAAATCTTATAAGAAGGATATCATGAGTCATGATATATCCTCCCATGTATAGAGATGGGGAATGAATCATATCCAAAGCTAAATTGATAATATCCCAGCCATCGCTGATGTAGAATGGCTATTTATATGATAGCTCATTTTTTAAAATGATTCATTCTCTACTAAACTGAATGAATGCACTATTAGTTTTTTTATTAAGAAATTTAAAATCAGTTTGTTCACTATAATTCTCATGTATAAGGGGCTTTCTAATCCCGGGTATCGTATCTTGGGCTGTCATTTGTGACGACCCCAAGAATATGTTAGAGTGCAAGGATTTTAGGTGTTTTAGATTAGTTAACAAATAAAAATATAATTCTATTTATATAATGTCATGATAGACAAAATATAGAACGATTAATTCAAAATTTTTAGGGAAAATATTATATATTCTTTTCATAGCACTTCCGTATTTTTATATTTTTGATATTTAATAATATTGTTTTTATAGTTATAAAATAGAGAAATTTTTTTAAAAAAAACGAAATATTTTTTCGCGTCAACTTTCAGTCTCTTTCTCTCCTTTGTCAATTATTTTAAAAATTTCTAAAAAAATAAAATAAAAACAACCAAATCAATATTAATATTTAAAAAAATGAACATAAAACACATAAAAAATCATTAAAGTTTATCGTTAAACATCATCATTCAGGAAATGATCCCTTTAACATTTTTATTCTTATATAAATTTATCTACAATTAATATTTTATTGGCATATTGGTTTATTACATTTTCAAACGATCACATACATTGTCTCATCGAGCAGAAGAAGTTCAAAACCATTTTAGGTTCATTCAAACCCAAAAGGTATTATATTTTATATAAAAACATCTTAAATAATCATTTCCTCTTATTTAAAAATATAAATAGATAAATATGTAATATCTTGAAACTTCAATACTCAGGTGGGGTGTAGACATCCAAAGATTGTTAAAATTGATTTGTCATAAACGATTAATTATAATGAGCTGCAATCTTCAGTAGCTTCATTAAATTTATTTAGATTATTTATACCAAATTTTGCTTTCTTTGGTTGAGTAATTTTTAAGATATTAACGATATTAAATGTATGGGTATTTAAATCTACTTAAGTATATCTTTTTGACCTTATTAAAGAAAAATGAGACATTTTTAAAATTTTTTTTAGATTAAATTAAATTTATAAAATATATTAGTTTTATATTAATAAATTTTTAAGTATAATAATATTCTTTTATTAAATAAAAATATTACTCAAAAGATATTTTTAAAATTATAAAATAAAGTAACACTAAACTATAATAACACACATCAACTTTGAATAATTTAATAGTATCTAAAATAATATTAAAAATCATATTATTTGAATAAATTATCTAAAAACAAATTTCTTTAAATTAATCTTGTTGACAATTTCATTACAATAAAAATTTAGCAATAATAATATGTTTTCCAATATTAAGTTTTCACTAAAATGATAAAACCAAATCATCCAGCCTAGCTGTATTTTATTTAAAGTTTTTAAGATTGAGAATTGGCCTTGGAAAATTAACAACAATATCTAGAATTTATTGATTATATTAAAATTATAAGAATCCCTATTATCCTTTAAAGTTTAATTAAATATTTAATTCTATAAGAATTTGAAGTAGAAATTGTATATTGTAAAGGCAAATAATATTTGGTCTGCAATAAATTTACAATTAAAACCAAAGGAACTAACAAATTCACGGACTCTTCCTCTAGGTTCCGAGGATCTGGGCTATCAACTATATCCTCTTTCATTCAGCCTATTATATTTAATAATCGGATCTTTACCCCCAGTTGTAACTGATGGATCATAAACACAACAGCACCACCCACAATTTTGGGCCCGATAATTTATATCCCAGCCCAACATTCCAATTATCTCTTGTATTCTTCAGGGAGCACCTAATTCTTTTGCGGAATCCTTTAATAAATTAATCCTTTTAACTGTAATCAATCCAGAGAATCCATCAAATTAAAAAGTTCTACTAAGTTTTATCAATTTCACTCATTACAAATGAAAAAACCATTCCTTTATCCAAATTTATTAAGGCTTCAATATCCCTCTAAAGTACTGATAGCATACTAGCTTCCTCACTCCACACTCACCAACCTAAATCACTTCCTACTGTTCGTAGGGCCAGAATAGTTCAAAAAAAATAGCTTTAGTATAGTATAAACTCAATCCTTTGTTCTATGACTTCTTCTTTGCTCTATCAATGAGTCCACGCTGGAATGCTCTGTTATAAAAATATCCCTCAGGCGACCCCGAGTTTTCAAAACAAAACTATAATACAATTTCTGAAATTAGCATCGTTGAGATAATTAAAGTTGTTAGATTATTTAAAAACACTTTATGGAGGCCTAGATAGCATTCGTGATATCTTCATGCAATATACCCTGAAACCTCATATTCCAGGTATAGCACTTTTATGGAACCTTATCAGGTTATTAAATATAATTCTTCCAGCCTCTATCATTCCTATTATATTAGGTGTTTGTCTATGTAGTAAAGAAGTAATCTATTGTAATATTTTATCATATTATATATTATATTTGACAGTTAGATATGATTATATATATATATATTTACGATTAATATAATAGGTGTTGTTTAACTTCCTAATGTATTATGTACACATCAATCTCTTAACGTGTAATTATATATCGCCATTTGTAATTATGCACCTTATGTTTAATTATACTGAATAAAATGTCAATGAAAACTGATACCTATTAAATGAGTTATAGAAATAAATAAATATAAATAATGGTTCTACTTTCGTTAAAGTGGCGACGACGTGGATTCTAATATTCTAATTAAAACAAGTATGAAAATAGTTATTAATTTTATAAATTATGCCTCAGTCCAAAAATACTAGTATTATTGATAAGTTAGAAAAATATCAAATTAATGGGTCTATACAACGTTGGTTCCAATTTTGGGACGCAACGTTAAGACTAAAGAACTGGACACCGACCGATTTGCTACCTTTGGGGTACCTAAAAGCCTTGTAACGGATAATGGACCTCAATTCAATAGAATTTAAGCGATTTTGTGAAGAAAACAACATTTGCCACATTCGCTCAACGCCGTACCACCCGAAGACTAATGGGCAGGCGGAACGAACCATTCAAACCTTAAAAGGGAGGTATTATGCCAGTCGAGAATCAATTAATGACCCGCAAGAGGCGATAACTCAAACGGTAGCAGCGTATAGGCTGGGAGAACATAGTTCAATGGGTAGGTCACCAGCGAAGATTATGTTCGGTCGTCAAATAAGAACTAATCTAGAATGGGCTAGACCAGAGGAGGGAAAGGAGATTGATAAAACCAATGATAAACAAAATCAAGAACATGATACACATTCCAATTTTAGGGAATTTGACGTTGGTCAGCATGTGTGGGTAAGGAATGAAAGCGCTAAGGGTTGGAGAGAAGGGGTGATTCAGGATAGAAAGGGATTATATTCTTATGTAGTCAAGACCCCAGATCGTGTAATACGGAAGCATGCTGACCAGCTAAGAGACCGTTTAATATAAGATACGACGGAGCGCGTGATCGCTGACAGGGATCAGAGAGAGTGTGAGACCCCAAGGCGAGGGCAGACACATGAGCCCCCGAAACGAATGATTGAAGAGATATAGACATCTCTCTATTAACGTAGGGGGAAATGTAGTAAAGAAGTAATCTATTGTAATATTTTATCATATTATATATTATATTTGACAGTTAGATATGATTATATATATATATATTTACGATTAATATAATAGGTGTTGTTTAACTTCCTAATGTATTATGTACACATCAATCTCTTAACGTGTAATAATATATCGCCATTTGTAATTAAGTTGCACCTTATGTTTAATTATACTGAATAAAATGTCAATGAAAACTGATACTTATTAAATGAGTTATAGAAATAAATAAATATAAATAATGGTTCTACTTTCGTTAAAGTCTAATAGCATTAAAAAAAGGACGGAGAAATCTGTCCAATCTCAGAAGATCCTTCTCCGAAGAACTGTTTATAAAATCATTGCTACATATATCAAGAAATCTCTTTCCTCATTCCTGTTGCTAGTCCAATTACAGATTAGCATTCCTGGAGCGTAGAAATGTTCGCTCATCTCGATCAAATGGCATTCCCGATGACATAGTTTTAAAATTTTATCTCAATATTAATTTTTAAAACAACAACACTTTGTTCCTTTGTTCCTTTGTTCTGTAACAAATATTCAGAATATACAATATAAAATTATCACAGCTATTCCAACTTTTTTATAAATAATATAATCATATCTTAAGAAAGCATATAACAATGAGATCTAGTAGGACCCTATCTCTTTTACATTGGCCACAAAATAATCCAGGAAATTCAATCTAGCTGTCTAACCCCACCTTAAATTCCTGTATTTGGACAGACATTGTTGCTGACACCATAGTAGATAAACTCTCACATATTACAGGTCTTTCACTCAATCACCTTAAGCGTGAGATATGTTTCCTATATCCACTTCATCAAACACATACCACGCCATCAACAGGGATGAGATGACACATCTCGGAGCCCTCAATGGGGGAGTAAAAATTATTAAAACATATTTAAGCAATTCCTCAATGATTTGTATAAATTTAGTGCATTATCTAATTATATTCCCAAGTATCATTCCTTTTAATTAACGAGTACTTATATATCAAAAATCATTTACGCCCTGAGATCTGCACCAATCTACAAATGTAGTAATTAAGAAGTTTCTCATGAAACTCAAATTATGGGTCTCCTCGAAAATATGTTGAATATAAAATCCTTATTGTGGTGTTTATAAAGTATTGTCTGTATATGTAAAATAAAATGAAAAAATATATATTTAACTTTTACAAAATCGTTAATATATTTAATATATTACCATAAAGGTAACAAAATACAATTTATTTAAAGTTAATACATTACAGTTCTCCCCACTACAAATTGAATTCATCATGATATCTTAATGGGGGTTTGGAAGCTCTTTTTTTAAGAGTTGTATTTTCATTATGTTCTGCATTGTCTAAATCTTTAGTTATTGTTATTGGTATTTCCTTAGCTTATACTTGAGCATCCCTCAGTTGTCGATGCTTGTTTTTTACAATACCCTCTGACTCAACATCATACAATATCGCACTTTTCCTTTTAACCATTGTCCTTTCATGCCATCCCACAGTCCTTTCATGCCATCCCACAGTCCTTTTGTTTATCCAAATTTTTTGCTTCTTTTCAAATTCACGGGACTCATATCTTTATTTGTTTCCATAATGCGTTTTTAGTCCTTTCGCTAGTAGATAATTTTTATTGATCTAACGTGGTAATGAGCGGCCTCAAACATCATTTCGGCAGGCGATATACCAGTATTTGCATTTGGAGTATTTCATGGAGTAATTAAAACATTCGCTAAATTTACGGAATCTACATCTCCTTCTATATAGAAACGCGACCTTATCATATGTATATAACGCTCAGCCAAACCATTCGATTTGGGGTTATAAGGGGCTGATCTAAAATGCTTTATGTTGTTTTTAAAAAGAAACATTTTAAATTCAGATCCAGTAAACTGAGTACCGTTATCTGAGACAATGTAGCGAGGCACAAATCTAGCGAAATAATTCGCAGATTATTTATTAAACTCGCCGAATTAATATGTGTTAAAATTGCAACTTCAACCCATTTGATGAAAGCGTCTACTCAAATTAACCAATACATTCAAGGTACGGGGACTGTCAGAATCAATGTGTATTCGTTCATAAGGTCAGGTAGGAA